ATAAGATGTAACTGTTTCATCACCATCAACAAAATCCATAATATCTGGAGTTTCTTCATTTTTACGAAGAATTCTGTTTGGTCTATATGACTCATAAATTTTAATTAAATATCCAGGAATTAATGAAACAACAAGTATTACAAAAGTAAGTAACCAGAATGCACTTGATAATAGCAATTTGGGAAATACAGAGAGCATATCACCGTCATATCGTCTAAAATATAAAATTATTTCCTTACTGACAATATATTTCTTATGATATTTGATTATTTATCTTATAAAATGTTTATTATAACTGTCTCCTTCTATTAACTTAACCATTTATATTTTATACTTACACTTTTGTCATAGAATATAAAAATGCAAATATATAAAAGGATAATTCAGATAATATAATGATAAATACAAATGGTACTGTCCAATATGAACTGCATACTAATAACTTAAAAAAAGAAAAAACATGTTAATTATATATAATCGTTGCAACATTTTGTTCCAAAATAATATAAAAATAATAAAATTATACCTGACAATTAATGACAAATATAGCCATATGTAATATCCATGTACTATAAGACCAGAGTTCTACTGGCGTATTATCATATAAGATTATAGGATTATTATGTACATAAAAATATATTACAAAATATATTATACAAGTTTGCCATGTACCTGCAAAGCAATGAAATTTATTGTATATATCAGTTTATTTCGCAGATAAATGTTATGAATATTTACCCATTGTGAACCACAATATAAATTGTTTCCAAGATAATAAAAAATTCTTTTTATGAAGCTTATATAAATATGGATTGCTTAAAAGTTTATTGGAAGGATAGTCCTGTTCATATAATCCAAATAAAAGTATTGGAACTGATGTAAATAATGCATTAAATAACATCAGAAACATACTGTCATATAGCCCCTACATGAAAAACATTTAATATAAATATAACACAATGATACTTTTCAAAACTTGTGTGTGTGTATGTGTGTGTTCTCACTTTAATATGATTTAATAAACATACCTGAGTAGAAAAACCATTGTGTATACCAAATAATATTTGTGGAGTAATGAAGACAAAATTTTTATAGAAAAAGTATTGCGTTAAAATGCTAATTCGTCGATAGTACCAATGACCGTGTACAAGAAATACTTTCTTCAGATGTTTAAATCGTGTAAATGCGAAATCCGATGACATCGTTGCCTGACGTCCTTCTCTACCCATTATTCCTAAACCGACATGAGCTTCTTGAATCATAGAAACGTCGTTCCCGCCATCACCTACCGCCGCGGTTATTATTCCTTTTGTCTTTTTTATCATTTGTACGATCTGTAACATTTAATTTTCCCGCCACTATTGAAAGACACGATTCTACATTTCTATTGCACTTTATAAAGATACTACGTTATTCAATTTCATTACTAATTTTGACATTATTATTCAAAATAAAATCGTGTGTATTTACAAAAAGTTGTCATAGATAACGATTTATTTCCTTCTCGTTTTCATTATATCATTTAAATGATTTTTTATTCGTTACCTCGCTTTTTTGGAGAGGCGTTAATCTGCAACATACGACTGACTCGCATGACATTGCAATTTTTTTGAACAACTGTGGATATGTTTGTATAACCAAACTTAAACAACTTCCATTGATTATAAATCCATATTGTTTATAAGGTTCCAATTTCATTTGACGCCTGTAAAAAATGTATTCGCAAAAATTATATTGATATACGGATAAGAGAAAGGAAATTTGCTCAATGGTATTATATTTACTCGAAATTGGTAAGAGTAACGAAGCAAGTTTGCTTCGTTGTTTGTGTCATTAAACGTAGTATCTCAGTACCCTTTTTAAAATGACCACACAAGAAAGCTATATTTTCTGCTGTTTCTGCTTTGTCACCGGTAAGTACCCAAACCTACATAATAGAATATATATATATATATATATATATATATATATATATATATATATATATATTATATATTATATATTATGAATAGGTTAATCGAATGATTTACTATACGCATATTACTTAAATAATGAAATAAAATAATGAACCTTTATTCCAGCTACTTTTAGACACTCGAGCGTTTCTTCAACGCCTTCTTGAAGACGATCTTCGACCGCAGTTACTCCAAGTAAAGTTAGACCACTTTCCATTTCTTCGTAGGCGCATTGTATGCACATTTCTCGATCTTGTCCGATGACTTGTCTTGCAACTTCGATATTACGTATTAACCGTGTATAATCTCTTTGGGTTAATTTTTTATAAGCCACTACCAAGGTACGCAATCCTCTCTAATGCAAAACACATAACGTTTTAGTCAATACACGTAAGTACATAAGTATCATTTTGTGGAACATTGATGTACCATAGAGAAATCTTCTACATGAGCAGCTGCTGTTTCGACGTCTCCTTCTATAATTAAAGGTAATATCGATGTGTCCGCACCTTTACAATACAACCACAAATCATCCGCAGTATCCTTAACTATTACCGACATTCTTTTTCTTTCTGTTCAAACAGAACGTGAATAATTAAATTTCTTTGTTTTCGATCTATCAGATCACGATAATTTTTCAACTCACCAGAACTGAATTCTAATATGTCCATTTTCGTAAAAATAAGAATACTATTTTTTATTTTAATTTCCATTGTGTCCCTCGTGTCTTTATGAAATATAACACCGCATCTCGCACTTGCTTCTACCAAGGCTTTCTCGTCCGTCGATGTTGCCTGCAATACGATAAATTTTTTTATTTATTTTTTTTTTTTTTTTTTTTTTTTTCAGAAACATTTGAATATCATCATCCTTACTTGATATTCTGGAAGATCTGGATGCATAAGCAACGAACTATTAACTTTGGTAATCGTCTTTAATCTGAAACTCTTACGATACTCTAAGCGTTGCGTACTAATCGTTGACTTCCGACTTGGTGGTGCAATTTGAACAACGTGGCAAAGAGAAATACTCATCATGAAATGCCAGATTTCAGACTGTAATATTAATACATAATACATCTTATTTATTATAGACTTTCTCTAAATATGTATATGTAATCATTGTGATATTTGCCTGCCACGATTGTAATTTTACAGCCTCCCTTTCGTCTCCGTTAGGTGGTAATAAATAAAGATTTCCATCACAGTCTTTTTCTATATATACTTGTCCGTTGATGGAACATCGCCTGAATACCATCAGATTTTCAGTTAACGTACCAGTTTTATCAGTGAATAAATACTCGACCTGACCAAGTTCCTCGTTTAAATCCGACGTGTTGCTCAATGCTGGTTGATCGGATGCTTCGTCGTATAGATCGATGTCCCATTTGAAATAAACAGATCCTAGAAATTTTTGTATTTCTGAAAAGCACAGAGATTGCAATGTAAAAGAAAATATACATAACACGTTGAAATATTGTGCATAATGTCTCACCGATCGTAACGTATAACGATATAGGAACGATGTAATTATATAGAATAGTAAAACTGAGTAAATCTATAAAAAGAGATAACGGGGTTGTGGAACTTTTCTCCCCCAAATAGACGTCCCACGTTGAATTTGATTCTATTATGAATTTGAAAGTCGTTGAAATAATTATTTCAAACAGCAGGAGTATGATAAAAACAGTAAGGTATTTATTGATGGATCTGCGAAAAGATACGACATTTTGTTATAACAAAGCAATTAAATTACTTATCTACTTAGAATCGAAAAAAATCGAAAAAAATTATATTCTTTTACGTACCTTTCTACCGTTGAAAATTTATTCGGTACCGTTTTCGAATTTAACGATAACTTTGTATCTTTACCGGTATAAATGACACAACCAATCACGCTATCGATGTCTTTTAATATTGCTCCACGAAGCAACATATTTTCTATCGTTAAAAATCCACTCGTCGTCACTTCGTTAGAATTATTTTTTATTTCTATTTTTCCATTAAAACTATAAAGATCTGGCATTGGAGCCTGACACGTTACAGTCGCTTGCATAGATACGATCTCTTGCAGGGGCATCTTGGATACGATTTTTGGTACGTGTAACGACTAAATACGTAAAACAAAAGCTTTTCATTTTAAAGAACAACATGTAATCTGAAATATCTCGATGTAAGAATAAATAAATACCTTTAAATTTGTTTCTCCATCAAGGTTTGACGTTGTAACAAAACAATAACCAGAACTTTCGTCGCTGTGTAAAAGAAGAAGATCACAGGGAACATCCTCGTCTCGTCTTACCTTTACTATATCTCCTACGACTATTTGTTCACAATGAATTTCCTATGATGTTTAACGATATTTGTTATAAAATTATTATGGCAATTATACTTCACTACGATATTACACCGACCTGTGCACATTTGTTGCGAATAACTGTTACATATCTTTTATTAATTCTTTTATCTACCCTATATCGTAGATAATCTTCGTATCCCTGTTTGCAAGCAGTCACCAAAATGACGAACGTTAAGGGCAATGAGCTAGTCACTGGTAAAATTGGAGATTCTGTCGATAATGCTACTATTGTATTAAGAAGAAAATAGAAATTTGCTATTCGCCGAAACTGTTCGAATAGATTTTTAGGGATGAAATTCCACAATGTGTACTGCAAAGAAAAGTTAAAGAACTTATGTAGGATCTTTCTTATCGCAACTCGCGTAAAACTTTTATTACAAACACTCACTTTATGTGAAACGATTTGATTCCTCGGATATTGGCTTTTTGATGGGACATTGTCAGGACTTATTCTAATGATTCTATGTTCGGTGAATATCGAAGAGGCCTCGCCCTAAAAATGAATGTGTATATAAATACAATAGATCATTATTTGCGTCGACATTGCGTAGAATTTATCAACGTTAAAAATCGTACTAAGGAGATAATCAATAAATTACATTGAAAAGAATTATAAGAAATGATACATTCATTTGTACATTTTTCTTTTGCTCTTTTACTATAAAAAAAAAATACGTATATATTATTTCCCTTTGAAGATATTGTACGTCACATTTCGTGATTATATATGTGGGATATGGTAGAATGTAAGTGAAATATAATCCAAAGTAGAGTTTATTGTAAAAAGATAGATTTAACGCTTATCACTCGCAACGATAGATTGACTCTTTGTTCTGACCCTTTCTCTTTTCGTTGGTCTACTTAAGAGGACTATTCCTCCGTTGTTTTTTTTCTCACGTACATCCCGTACCCTTCATCCTGCATCTCTCTCTCTCTCTCTCTCTCCCTTTATATATATGTTTCATCTCTTTCTTTCATAAACAACGCACCTTCCACCCTTTTGTCCATCGAAAGGCATACTACATATATATGTATATATACGATAGGTTAATCCATCAAACATTTATATCTATTCGTTTTTTTTCCTTTTATGGATAATATTAATATATTTTTCTGCGTACTTTTACTGACAAATATTAGAACATCCTAGCAATAGAAATATCTTGTTTGTCATCAGACGGAACTATGAAAAAGATATAATGGATATTTACAAAAACGAGGAATATCGATTATGTGGATTGCTGGCAGAATGAAATTCATCGTATGAAGATTGCTACGAACATATTATTATATTAACATTGACGTTATATTTAAGAAAGTCGAAGTGTCAAAAAGAAATTGACTTTTAATATGAATAGAGAAAAATTGTTTTATGTACATTACTCTGTAAAAATGTTCAAAGAGAAATAATCGTATGTACACGTTCCAATTTGACTAAAATTCCTTTAGGGTTAAACAGATATTACATAAATTCAAAGATGCACACGACCGTACAATTTTTTTTATTACGTTTGTCTCAAAAGATAAGACATTGTCAAAAAAGGCTCGGACGTTACAAACACGATGCTGGTTCTAATGAAAGAGAAGACACTTTTCTTACTACGTCAAGTAATTATTATCTACAAAACATGTATAATGCTTGGTTGAAGGACAAAAACTCTGTACATTCCTCTTGGAATGAATTCTTTGAACGAATTCATTCTCAAAAGAATAACATCAGATCTGCTCTACCAAAAAGTAATATTGCCACCATTACCTCTAAAATGGCTGCGCGAAGAACGAAAAATGGGGCAGGACAAAATAGTAATTATTAATTTTTTTCATATTCGTACGCATATACGTTTGTTTATAGCTATATGTGTATAATAATTAACTTTTGATATTTGATCAGTTTCATTGTCACCCAAAACGAGCGGGTCGTCTTTCAATCAATCTCAAAATGAACGTCTTATAAATAAAACTTTGGACATTGATTCTACGATTCGTGCTTATCAGGTAGAAAGAATTATTTTTTATTACAATGCAACGATATTATAACATTTCAATGTTTCAAGACACGCGGTCATTTGATAGCTGATTTGGATCCATTGGGAATTCAAAATCCAGATTCTGCTAAGCTTCAAGGAACTGCTAATTTGCCACCAGCGATTGTAGTGAGAGAATATTTAAAAGGAATTACCGAGGCTGATATGAATAAAGAATTTTTATTGACGAGATCGACAATGATCGGTGGAGAAAAGAAAAGTTTGCCTTTACGCGAGATCATCATGAGATTAAATAAAGTTTATTGCGGGCACTTAGGTCTTGAATACACTTATATTCATGACCCTGTTATGGTAAGTGATCAAAATCATAATTAAATTAAAATATACATTTTTACACAGATGATATGCTTATCTTCAGTTAGATTGGTTAAAAGAAAAATTCGAAGTACCGAATGCCTGGGAATTATCTACCGACCACAGAAAATGGATTTGGATGAATATCATGAAAGCCGTGAGATTTGAAGGATTTTTACAGAAAAAATACGCTAGCGAAAAAAGATTCGGATTGGAAGGTTGCGAAGCATTCATCCCGGCGATGATGCAATGTTTGGAAACGTCCGCTGATAAAGGTAAGGCACACCCTCTCTCAAAATCTAAACAAAAATTAAATTTGACTTTATTTAATTTTAACATTTATATCCGTTAGGAGTGGAGACCGTGGCGATAGGAATGGCACATCGTGGTCGTCTAAACACATTAGTCAATGTTTGTTCGAAACCTCTCCATCAATTATTGACTCAATTCAATCCTATAGCTCTTGACGGCTTTGGATCTGGGGATGTGAAATATCATCTTGGAACGCACGCTGAAAAATTGTTACAGAGGTCTCGCGCTTTATAATATTATTTTGATTCGATCACTTTTTCTTTTCTTATATCGAGCGCCTTATATATCTTTATTTATATTGAATTCACATACAGAAGTAACAAAAAAATACATGTTTCCATTATGGCGAATCCTTCGCACCTGGAAGCTATCGATCCCGTTGTAGTAGGTCGAATTAGAGCCGAACAAGTGGAAAAGAAAGATACTAAAAGTAAATAACGAATAATTTATATGATTCTTCTATATCGTGAAAAAAAAAAACCAAAAAAAAATTCTAATTCGCAAGATTTAAATCTTGAATTTACGTTAACAAGGTGAAAGATCATTGGCACTCTTAGTTCATGGTGATGCTGCTATAGCCGGGCAGGGCGTAGTTTTTGAAACGATGCACCTAACGAATCTACCGGAATACACAACTGGAGGTGTCATTCATGTCATTATAAATAATCAGGTAGGTTTTCGAACTGTATTATTGTTATAAAAAGATATCTATTCCGATAAATATCATCGTCTTCCAATACGTAAACAATTTTAGATTGGTTTTACGACCGATCCGAGATATTCTCGATCCAGTTGGCATTGCTCGGACATAGCGAGGGTCATAAACGCACCAGTATTTCATGTACACGGCGACGATCCGGATTTAGTAGTTTATTGTAGTCAAATTGCTAGTGAATATAGGTAAATATCTTTTTAAAGATCTGATTCGAATAAAATATTTATATCAAATATTTATGCGAAATATTTTTTATTTAAAAGAGCAAAATTTCATAATGACGTTATGATCGACATTGTCGGATATCGGAGATATGGTCACAATGAGTTAGACGAGCCTATGTTGACCCAGCCAATAATGTATAAGAACATAAGAGCTCATCCAAATGTTCTGACCATCTACAGCGATAAATTATTAAAAGAGGGTGTGATAACAGAAACCTTTATAAAAGAAGTGTGTCAGAATGCGTTCAATCTCACGGTTCCCGATGCTTAAGTTTTCTTTCTCATCTTTTTTTTTTCTTTTTTTTTTTCATTTTTAGGAAATCGATAAATACCTAGATCATTGCGAGACGGAATTTAAAAAAGCGCAATCCATTCAATCTATACACATGTGGGATTGGCATGATATACCTTGGAGCAAATTCTTTTCAAATCAATCTTCGGAAAATAAAATACCGAAGACAGGCATTAATTTGGAATCAATTAAAACTATGTGCAAAACTTTATCGACTCCTCCGGAAGGGATAACAGTTCACAATGCGGTGCGTATTCTGAAATGCGCAATTTTTTTTTCAATGAGTTAGATCTTTAATATTTTGAATATTCTTTGATATATTCTTTTGGTACGTGTATAGGTGTTAAGGACAATGAAAAAACGAGGAGAGATGATGTCGGAAGAAAAAATTGATTGGGCTATGGGCGAAGGTTTGGCATTTCTTAGTTTATTGAAAGAAGGACATCATGTAAGATTATCCGGGCAAGACGTTGAACGCGGAACCTTTTCCCATCGAATGCACATTATTCATGATCAGAAGAGAGACAAAGTATATAAAAATCTTCTCAACGATGTGTTCCCTGATCAAGCACTTTATACCGTTTCAAATTCTTCATTATCGGAATACGGGGTTTGCGGTAACAATTTAGCAAGACATATGAAATACACTATGCGTAAGAATATACGTGAATGATTTTATTGAAAATTAATCCTTTAATATTGTCGTCATACACAAAAGGTTTCGAGTTGGGATACTCGGCTTACAATCACAAGACGCTTACGCTTTGGGAAGGACAATTTGGTGATTTTTGTAATACCTGTCAGGTAATTCATAAGCCCGATATATCACAATGGTTGATTAATCTAAAATCACGATGAATACTATCTAGGTTACCATAGATTGTATATTATCTTCTGGCGAATCAAAATGGGGTAGGCAAGTGGGACTAGTCTTGCTTTTACCACATGGCATGGAAGGTCAAGGACCTGAACATTCGTCCGCAAGATTCGAAAGATTTTTGCAAATGTGCGACGACGATTGTATTCACATACCTGGAACAGAACCGAATGCTGCCAAAGATAAATCTCCGGAAGAAATAATGACGCGACAACTTTTTGAAATAAATTTAATCGTTTGCAATTTGACTACACCGGCGAACTTTTTTCATGTTTTGCGACGGCAAATATTGATGCCTTTTAGAAAACCACTGGTTAATGATCTTACATCCAGAGTTCTACCGTGACAGATAATAGATCGTTCATATGATTATCGATCAACTGTTCCAGGTAATCATGACACCAAAGTCATTGCTTCGACATCCCATGGTGATATCGAGTTTTAAGGAAATAGGCCCTGGTACAACGTTTCAACCGGTGATCAGAGATTACTCCGTCAAGCCAGAAGGCATTAAAAAAATACTCTTCTGTACGGGAAAAATATACTATGATCTCATTGCAGAACGTAAGACAAAACAATTAGAAGATAAAATTGCAATAGTGCGAATCGAACAAATTTGTCCTTTTCCGTATCACCTCGTTGCAGATGAAATAAATAAATATCCGAAATGCAAGGTAACCTTATGCTTTTATTTAACGATAATTACACCTCGCAAATCAATCAAATTCGTTAATTTCAAAATGTTATTTCGAATGTGTAGATAATGTGGTTCCAAGAAGAACACAAAAATCAAGGCCCATACTATTACATAAGAGATAGATTAGCGCTGGCTTTGCGCCTACGACTGGAAGAGATAAGTTATGGTGGCCGACCACCTAGTGCCGCTTCAGCTACTGGAAATAAGAACATTTATGCGACGGAATTTCAAGACATGATGAAAATGGCAATGCATCTTTGATTGAAATTCAAAGAATGGTTATTATTATAACGTCTTTCGAATATAATAATAAAAATTCAATGTTTATTACGGGGTATCACTTTAACTCACCAACAAACACAGATATTTCGTCCGTTTTATTTTCCAATGCGAAAAGAACGATCGATTTGTACGATTCCACATCGCCTTATGGCGTATTCTTCTTCCGTTCGATGTTAAAAAAGTAACTGACATATTGTTAAACATCGCATTCTATGCCTGAGCTCAGAGGTGCGAGATGTTGACGTAACTGACACGTCTCATATGTCACATTTGACATGTCTCATATGTGAGAAGATTTTTACAGTACATGCGCATTCGTCCTTAATTGAAGTTTCACACAATGCTTTCTATCATCGAAGATAAATACTCTAACGAATTTGATTTGATTCTGATTTGATTCTGATTTGATTGCAAATTACAAGTCAAAATAAAGCAATTCAATCTATTCTACTTACCATATTCGTAATCAGGGATGATCTATGTAAAACGTTCGATCAAGCGCACTTTTTGTTTAAAAAGGATAGAAAAATTGATTAAATATTTACAGAATTTTATAAAAATTATAATATTACGTTGAAATATTCATCACATTTGAAATGATTAATTTTTTTCTCGATGCACCACTATCTTTTTTACGAGATTGCAAACTTCTTTTATTTAAAATTTCAACGCGATAAAATGCTTAAATTAATGTCGATTGCTATAGACGATTGACTCTTGATTCTTGCAATCCTTTAATGAACAACTTAATATTATCGTGATAAAAGATGATAAAGAACTTAATATAGCCTATGGAACTTATATAGATATATAATCAATTCTCAAAACCTTGGTATTATTACCTTCTTAACGTTCTTATCAAGTTCGCGAAAGTCCGATAGTATAGTATTTTAATAAAAAAGATTATAGAATTCTTTACAGATAATATCGATAAAGAGATGTCATTTCAGCAATAATTTTATGATTTCTATTTAACGCAATATATCGTGCGATTTATTCTGACGATGATTTGACGATAGATCGTCAGTTGATCTTTGACATTGATTAGCGATTGCTAATGTTGATTCAGAAATAAAATCATCAAATTAAAAGTCTTTTATTTTTTTATTTATAATATATCATTTTTTTTTTTTTTTTTTTTTTTCTGAAAATTGAAACTTTCGGTAAAATTGAAAGCTGTGATGTTCTTCTATTATATGCGTATGTACTGTATCTCTTTTTAAGAGATCATAATTTGAGCGCGAATATTATATAGTCGGTACTATACCAAGAGTCGGTATATAAAAAGATTTTGCTATCCCACCGATAGAGTGCCTTAAATCACTGTTAAAGAAAATGTCACAACTGATCATAATCATTCGAGTGATTTAAACTATATACGACGATTTATAACAAATGGTTGTATGTAAATGGTGTAATTGTTAATTAATTAAATAAGATCTCGCAACGCTTATATAATATAACAATGATTAAATGAAGAGGGCAATCCTGTTGAAAAAACGCGAATATGACATTGCCTGGCATTGGTGTGTTTGGTACAGGAAGTATTGTTAGAGTAATTATTCCCTTTTTAAGAGAGAAGGGATTTAAAATTAAAGCTATATGGGGCAGAACGTTGTCCGAAGTATCGGAAGCAGCAGCGGACCTGGAGATACCATTTCATACAAGTCGGATAGACGATGTACTTCTTAGAAAGGATGTAGATTTAATTTTTATCATGTGTTCGCCAAGTTTACATGCACAGATTGCAGTCAAAGCTTTGGGCATTGGAAAACATGTAGTGTGCGATAAACCTGCTGGCTTAAGTCAAAGTGAAGCATTAAAAATGGTCAGGGCTGCTCAATATTATCCATCGTTAATAAGCATAGTTAATCATAGTTTAAGATTTCTACCAGCATTTGTTACCATGAAAAAAGCTTTAGAAGAAGATTACTTAGAAGGTCCAATAACAGTAATTGAAATTAGAGTACATATGGGAAGTTTATTACATAACGGTTAGTTATTTTAACTTTATGATATATATTTTTCTTTACTTTCCTAATGTTTTCATTTATTAATACAGATTATGACTGGTTATGCGACGATACGATGGGTGGTGGTATTTTGGCTCTGGTAGGGAGCCATGTTATAGACTTAATATTCCATTTGGTTGGTCAACGTGCTATAAGAGTACATGCTGTTGTTCGAACTTTTACTCAAACTACAAAGTATATAAATGGTATACGTCATATAACATCACCCGATTTTTGTACTTTTCAAATCGAGTTGAGCGGAGGAACACTGGTTACAGCCACATTGAGTAATCACTTGCAAGGGCAACTTTCCCAAGAAGTATTAATATGCGGCGGTAGTAATCATCTCCTTGTTTGCAATGGAGACTTATATGGATTTAAAGGAGGACAAGAAGAAATTCTTTATAGAGATACCGAAGATTTAGAATTATCTCTACCTGTTTCTAATTCTATTCCACGTCCTTATATCAAAGGATTACGAAATATGATTGCTGCATTAAGAGAAGCTTTTCAATCAGTCGAAGATAAGAAAGGTTGGGTAAAAGAACCCGTCTTTTGTGCTGCTACATTTGAAGATGGCCTATATGTACAAGCAGTTATCGATGCATTACGTCAAAGTAACAAACGCCGAGAATGGGCTAAAGTTAATATTTTAACAGAAGAGCCTGATCCAAATCCATTACTGAGTGCTGCTGTTAGAGCTACAGCTATATCAATATAAAGAGAATATTTTTATACGTTCTCATAGATGACAATTAATTATTGCATTCGATCTTATTAACAATTGCACACGTTAAGGCAGCTTACATGTTTATCTATATAATCTTTTTTATTTAATATTAAATTAATTTTAATATGTACTTAAGAAAGTGCATATATTTCTTTTTTTTTTCTTTTCTTCAGACTTTATAGTTCAAATTAAAGGTTGTTTAATTTATATGTAACTTTTAACATAATTTAATATTATATATTGTATTTTATATTCGCGCACATATATTTAAATATTTATTATAAAATGAAAAATATACATACATATACGTTGTATTCTTAATCCAACTTACGTTTGCAGGTGATCTTACGAATTTTCGATGTTTACTCACCGAAATATTACAGAAGACTAATTTGTTTTTATTTGTCGAGATATGTAGAGATATGTAGATTCTATCGTTATCTGTTAATTCTTGATTTATGTTAACAGAAAACAATAAACGGTTAAGGCATTGATCTACCTTCACGGTTGACGGTATTGTCGCGGCTCAACGCGAATCAATATTATGTATACACACACACATACACACTCACACACACACACATATATATATATATATACATATATTTTATGTGATAATTTTTATCTTAAAGAATTTTTATCGACATTATACATTTATTTTGTTTTAAATACATACGGTAAAAAATACAATACTATGATCTAATAATGACGTAACAACATGTACATAATTACAATTAATCACGTGCTGTGGCGTTCGTGTCGATAAAGACGAATATAAATACAAACCTTATTTATATATATATGTATATATATATATGCAGCGTGATAACGGCATTCTGAACTTTGTACGTTACGTTACGTTATGTTTAATCGCGTATTTTACGATAATAGCGAGAAAAGGATTTTCTACTGAAAAAAATTTTACTCGCATAAGTTTTTATATAATTACTTGGCGTTTCATTAATTTTTTTTTAAACATACGTTTGATTTAAAATCATGAAAGAACAAGAAACCTTAAAAGGATGGTACATTGTATGGTGGCTATTTAAATTAATTGGATTCCCAATTACTATACCATGGTTACTTTATCATTTATTTGACATTATACAGCAAAAAAAACAAAAGGCTATGTTGAATAATAAGGTATCAGTGTATTCTATAATTTTTGGGAAAAGGTTTTGAAAATAATATTGTTATTTCATATGTGTGCTTTTCGTTTTATTATGTCATTTAGGTTGTAATGATAACAGGTGCTAGTTCTGGATTAGGTGAAGCATTAGCTCATGTATTCTACAGTTGTGGCTGTAGACTTATTTTAATTGCAAGGAGGGGAGCTGAGTTGGAAAGAGTAAAAAATACATTATTGGAGAAACATTGCGTATGCTCATCGTATTCTATTTTGTGATATACAATGTATATACGCGTACACGCATTATATTAGCAATAGTACATTTTACAGACAGTTCCTACTCATCCACCTGTAATTCTATCTTTGGATTTAACTGATATCAATTCTTTACAATCCAAAGTGTCAAAAGTTTTAAAAATACATGGGAAAATTGACATTTTGATAAATAATGCCGGTATTTCATATCGAGGTGAAGTTATTAATACAAATGTAGATGTGGACATTAAAGTGATGCTTATTAATTATTTTGCACAAATAGCTTTAACTAAAGGTAAACATAAAAATTTATATATATATATTCAATAAATTTATTTTATTTGAATATACGACATATATTTTTCTAGCTGTTCTTCCAACAATGTTACAACAGCAAAATGGGCATATAGTGTGTATTAGCAGTGTTCAGGGTAAAATTTCTATACCACATAGGTTTGTATAATTTTCTACATTTGTATCTTTTATTAAGATAGTCACTAAATATCATAATATAATAGGTCTTCATATGCAGCATCTAAGTACGCATTACAAGCTTGGTGTGACTCCTCTAGAGCAGAATTAGCTGAACACAATATAAAGGTTACAGTAATTAGTCCTGGATATATAAAGACTGCTTTGTCATTAAATGCTTTAACAGGAACTGGAGAAACGTATGGAGGTTTGTTTATTTAAAATATGTTTAAATGCATAAAGAAAGCTTTATCCCTTTGTATAAAAACGTAATGCGCTTTTAGTAATGGATCAAACTACCGAGCAAGGTTATTCTCCTAAATATGTTGCCAAAAAAGTTTTGCAAGCTGTATTGAAGAAAGAAAAGGATGTAATTATTGCTACGATTATCCCGAAATGTGGTATACTTTTACGTTTTTTATGTCCTTCTCTTTACTTTTGGCTTATGGAAAAACGTGCTAAAAAATTTACAAAGGAAAAGTAATTTTCCAATAAATAAAATCAGTGTAAATACCACTTCGTTTGAAAATATGGTGTAATGTTTTTTTTGCCTAAATTATACAAACATTTGTTATTATCTATTACGTTTTTGTACTGATGATTAAACAATTATTATTCAGATTATTATTATTGCATAGGTAATAATGTTAATGTTATCATTAATATTTTGTACAAGTGCAAAGCGCTAAATGAACTTGTCCGATAGATTTACTTAAAATTCTTTTATTTCTTTTATATATATATATATATATATATATATATATATATTTTTTTTTTATCACAAAAATATCATTTTAAATAAGTGTTTATATATACACTGCAACTAACATTAAATTTAATTACATTTTAAATGTTTTTGTAAGTGTGAGAATTGAGTTACAAACTAATTTATAAAATAAATGCATCTATATTTTGTCATATTAGTAAAAATCATATAAGACATAGGTATTCAAATGTCATCTCTTCAAGAGTATTATTTTTTTAAAAAAGTTTAATATTTTTGTTTTAATATCACTATTATATTGAAACGAATTTATGAGTAAAAGTTTTCATATATATAAAATTATAAATTGTTTTCATATATTTGCTATCTTGTAAAAAGAGTATAATTACTATTATCAAGGCAGTTGTATTATTTAAATCTTTTATACAATCAAAATAAAAGTTCATGTATTCCATAGATTTATGTTATGAAAAGTTTTTTTGAGTATTATTATTACAATAAGAAATATATCATATATGTATAAATATACAGAATCGTCATGGAATAGTATATTAATGGTTAAAACTTAGTAATTATAATCAATTGAATATCATGAATATTATAAATATTCTAAAATATACAAATTTAAATATAATTGTATGTGTGTGTCTACACACACACACACACACACACATCTAATCTTTCAAATAGATTCATGTGACTTTATTAAATTCATCATGAAGGAAATGTTCTATACATTAAAAATTCATATTTCATTGGCATTTTTTTTTATTTTCACTAATAGCTTTAACGCTGCATGTATACAAATGTCATATATGAGAAAAATAAAGTCACTTAGCTGTATTTAAAATATTAACCTCTTATATAATTGTTCCTTTTATAATATTATAATTTATAAAATTAAAATTATTGGTAATGTTACAATTTATCGTCTTGCGAATAAGGAAAAAATTTCTAAAAATTTGTATACATACATATATGGCATGAACCATATAACACGTGTGATCGATCGAAAATTTATTATTTTACAATTATTTATATTATTAGTGTATATCTAAATCTTTCGTTTTTCTCGTATAATTTATTAGAGAAAATTGATTATAGCGCATTTCTTATAGGTTCTTTTTGACTTCAAAATAAATTAAGTTATATGATTTACCGTTTATATGTTATAATATATCGTATTATTGAGATTTGTTTGGCAGAGAATCTAAACACGAAGTTATAATTTGTCGTACGAAGATATTGATTTCATTCTATTTTTTTATATGAAATTTGGCATGAATTAATTAAACCATTATTATTTATTTATACACCTTGTATCGTTTTATATTTTATATTTTGCAAAATATGTATTTAATGTTTCATTTAAAACAATTTATAACGGCACTATGTACATATTTATTAATAAAACATATATATATATATATATATATATATATATATATATATATATATATATACACACACACACACACACACAACAAGGGTCTTAAAAAATTCAAATGTGCTTTTATGCTCGAATATCGAAGATAATTTTTTCTTTTATAAATTTAAAAATAAAATTCGAATACCCAGTTGACTAGAACTTCTACATGTTCTAATAATTCCAGTAATTCTAAATAACACTAATAGTGATTTTACTAGATAATAGATGTTACGTTAATTGATATCATCAAAATTATAGTATCGTCATAAATATATCAACAATTGCATTGTCGCTGTAAATTTGTTTAAATTTATATATCTTAGCAATGTTAAGTAAAACAACAAAAGCCTTATAAAGAGGCAGGTGAAAAGAATGAAACGTCATTTTAAAATATTTTATTCGTACATATTCCGAAAGACCTTTTTATTCTGAATAAGTTTAGCTGACAACATTTATCAGAATAAAGCGCACATCAAAAGTTACAGAAATACAGAATTTCGCACACGCATTTCCATTTAAAATACACATTTGTTACGAGATATTATTGTTTGTTGATATTATTTGTACCTCTCAAAATCATTTCGTCAAACACGATAACAGAATATAAACGATCAAATATAAGGTCATTTCGAGCAGACATACGATTCGTGACGGTATGGAGCAAAATATTCAACAAACGCGCAAATAAAAATAATTTCAATAATATTTATTAAAAGAGAAATATAATCGACGTCTTCATTGGAATTTATTTAGTTATTGGATTGAAGTAAAATTGTCGTATAGATTACTACACTCGCTTGATGTGTGCATTATTTCGAATAATAATAAAAAGAATAATAATAATTCAAGACGTAACCATTTATAATAAAAATGGACTTTCGGAATGTGTACGAATTAATCTATCATTCAATTTAATATTAGTAAATAGTATCTCGTTTCTCTCATTTTAGAAGACATTTGGAATTTTGTTAGATATTGATAAAATAAATGTGAAATCAAATTATACTAATGTAGCGAATCGATATATGAATAATTATTTGTTAAAGAGAGTTAGCGAGTCAGTCATATAACAGTATAACATCAATTGGAGTTTTGTTTATCGTGAAATTTGAAATTTTTAAAATGATATAAAAGAAATTAATGTACAAATATCATAATATGCAAATATCATATCTAATGCTATGTTGTAAGAGAGATCTTTACAAGAGAGATGGTTTATCGAGAAATTTATATTAATTGGAATGTTAGAACACTGGAATACTTGGCCGTAAAGGTAGACGAATCCACGTAAAGGTAGACGAATCGACATATGGTTGCTGCATTCATTTCTAGCTCGGTATGTTAGATAGATGAGTAATCCAAATTTGGGTTTTAAGTAAGAGGCCTAATGTCGATATACAAGTAGAGAAATAATTTCTTTTTTTTCTTTTTTCTTCTTTTTTTTCTTTCTTTCTTTTTTTTTCTTTTTTTTTCTTTTTTTTTTTTTTTTTTTATAAGCTTCAAAATTATTAAAAATGTTTTATATATTGAATTAAAGAACTTTTAGAATTCTTTATCATTTGTTGCAGGAATGCTTACAATGCTCTTTTTGTGGGACAAAATTATGAAGTTCGATATACCGTTTTGAGTAAACGTTTATTTACTCAAAGTTGATTGTTTCATTTTGACTCAAAATAATTATTTACTCAAAACACAAGGTAATCGTTAAAATGTTATATTATTTAAACAACTTGGAGTATAGAATAACACTATCATTTACAATTATTATGCACAGACACAGTCATTTTGCTTTGATTCTTATTAATTTTATAAAATGAAAAAGTCTAGGCAACGTTTTTTTCTTCATTTCGTGTTCTGTGCAATCTACCTATTTTATATACAATCTAAAAATACACGATGCTACATTTAACTTCTTGAATTTAAAGTTGCAATTCTGTATAGTTAAAAGAACACATATTACTTGAATTATTGTGGATTATTTTTCAATTTGTTTTGTGACAAAAATGATTATAGTATAATCGACAAATTATGGATCACAGAGTAGAAACACCTGCAACTCTGAATATATAATGTCCGAAGCTAAATGCAATTGTTAAGTGAAGTTATACATTTTATGTAATACAAAGTCTCCTCTGTATAAGCAAATGTGATTCTGTGTTTCTTCTAATATAAAGAATCCTATGCTAGGCCTTGCATTCTATTGTTGATGATGTATTGCATGGCCCTTATGTTGCTTCTTCAATTTAAAAACAAGATATAATTCGTTTTCAACAATTAAATTTTCATTTAAAAGCTTGATAGATTCTCCATGCACTAATGCTAATGGCTGTCAGCGTAACAGTCGCATGAAGAATTCGTCTCCTCGTATCATCCTTTCTTACAAGAAACGTTGGCGACGATGGACCTAAGATAGCTAACACTTCTACATGTGGTAGCTTACTTGTGTCAGTTTCTACTTGGTATTGACAGCATGGATCAAACTGCCATGACAAAGTGTAAAGTCCACAAGTTATAAGTGATACAAAACCTAATGTGCCACAAATATAAGGTCGATCGCCCCATATAAGACCTACGAATATTAGAAACCGATAATTAAATCAACAACGTATTAATTACAATCACGATTTAAGGACATTAACAAACCTGTTGTGATAGCTGTTAAGCCAGATAACGTTGCAGTTTTATGAAGACAATTACCAACCGTTATCCATCTGGAAGTTTCATCTCCCAATTTCGATGGTTCAATTATGATTAAAGTACATTCGGACTCAAGGGCTCTTTCTAACTCGTACTCAAAAGTTTCATGAGCATTTTCACTGTCATATACTTCTCTAATAATTGCAACTTTTGAGTTATCATCCCTGTAATGACGAAAGTGTTATAATATGATGGAACGATACTTGAACGTTATTTCCTCCTCATTTGTGCCTCGATATAAGTAAAAATTGAATGAAAAGCGTATGAGAATAGATTGGAAAGACGTAAAAGACGATCCATTTGTCATGGATCAAAAGACATTAAATCAAACAGCAAATAAAATTCTTTTGCAACATAATTGCACATATAAAAGCAATATAATTTTAAACTTTTGATATGTAATTTATAAAAGGACTCATTAAAACTTGATATCTCATATGTTACATTTTAATTAGACAATTATGAATTAATGTTTTTTCATGATTTCTTTCCTTTGCATGTTATGTAAGATGGTCGGATTTAATCAGATTAAGATTTGTTTCGATATAATATTTTTCCATATTTCTAACAAACGTTTATACGAGTTTTTTTAATACTAAAATATATTATAATAAGATTATTTTATAGAGCGATAATGTAGAAATTGAAAGCAATAATGTAAAATTGTCAGAAAAATATTGAAAATGTGCATATACTTTGTACCTTTGAACGATTCATAAGAAACAACTTCGAAACGTGACATTTTAGATGGTCTTACGTTAGAGTAAAAATATTTTTTCTTATTAAATATTTACGAATATTAACACAAATAAAAGGTTAATTTGTTATGACCAAAGTATAACGTTGGAGGTTAACTATATTTAACATTTAGTTGCACAATATGATATTAAAATTTTACATGAACATCTTTACGACTAATAAATATAACTTTTCGTATAAAAAATTAAAAATAATCAGAGCTACGAACCTGTCAACAGCTTTATCTACCATCTTTACAGGCAATCTCATAGACGATGGAACAACAGTCGTTCTGAACCCGGAACAAATCTACGGATATAGAACCGGACGTGTAAATCAGCTGATTGTTTTACATACGCGTATGACTCAAGTAGTTTCTCAAAACCAGAGGAACATATTTTTATTAACAATATATGAAAAATAACAAAATATCTTTATCAAAGTTTTATTGAATAAAATATATAAAGAAATAATTCGTTTAATTTTTATCACAAAATTAAGTAAATTTAGAATACATATATTAGTAAAGTTTGGAATGAAAACATATGTCGAATTAATATCATTTAATAATTCCCGCCTTTTATGGTTTTTAGGTTTATGCGTTTTATTGTTTCAAGATGTCGCGATATATTCGATTCGATAGTAGCGGGAATAAAAGCGCAATAAGTAGTTTGGCGTTACTCGAACAATGTCGTTTATCATTTCTTTTTTGTTTTATAAATAATTGAACGATCGTCGGTCGTTGTGCTACAAATATGATTTCGTGATTCTGTCACGGTGTACTTGTACTCGATCGACGATACTCATCGGCACAGCAGAGGAGGTAACTTTGGAAAATTGCTTTCAGATTATTACATAATTTATATCTCCCGTGTCAAATATTTCAATGCATACGATTAAAGAGATAGACAAATAACGTGGGAAAAATATTACAAGGAAAAATTTCACAGGTGTATTCGAGGACAAACACTTGGATCAAGACGCGAGGAATTTTTTTATCGTCGATAATTAACTTAATCTAATAATATTTGATTCGATCGAAGAAAATCGTATTGCACGTAAGACGATATAAAAGCAAAAAAGAGAAATGTGCGTCGCATCAGAAACATCGACCAATGATAGAAGGCATGTGTTAAGGAAATATGGCGGATACGCGTTGGTGGCGTTAGCGACCAATCAGCTAACGAACTAATGGGACGATAGCTTGAGAAAGGGCAAACGGTGGCGCTTGGAAAACGGTACGGTAGCGAGGATCGCGAATGGATGTACGCGCGAGTTTCGTTCTGTCATGGATATTATCGGACGGTGTGTCATAGCTTTGTCCGAGCATCGTCGTCGCGCTCGTCTACGTGCTCGTCGTCATCGACGTCGTCGGCGTCGTCGTCGTTCTTATTGTTAAAGACTCATAGCGCCTCCACGGGGCGTTTACGCGATCCACACGAAATTCACGATTCTGCTTTCGTGCTTGTCTTTTTTTTTTTTTTTCTGTTTTTTTCTTATCTGCACCGAGTGGCTGCATCGAGTGAAACAGACGGAAAGAACGTCGGCAGGAGGGAGGGGAGAGAGAGAGAGAGAGAGAGCGCGAGAGGCTTCTCCGTGATTTCGTTCCATCGTCCACGTGCTTTCGCGGCTTAAGCAAGAGATTCTCAAGTGACGGGTGCGGCGGTGAAAGAGTGGAAAGGGAAAGAGGGGGTTTGGCTTGATCTCTCTCTCTTTCTCTTTCTCTCTCTTTCTATGCCGGAAGGTGGGGTAAGAGTGGGGGGAGAGCCAGTACCGCCGTCGACCTTAGGAGTTGAGCGGTCGTTTCGTTGCATCGCGTTTAGTGCGTGTCCGTCAGTGCGCGAGTCAATGACGACGTCGTGAACGCGCGAGACCGCGCGTGCTCGTGCGACGACGCGCGTTTCCCGCGACGTCGAGAGAGAGAGAGAGAGAGAGAGAGAGAGAAAAGAGAGAGAGAGAGAGAGAGAGAGAGAGAGAGAGAGAGCAGAGAAGATAAAGAAAAAAAGGTGGGGAATCGCGGAGAGAAGAATAAAGGAAACCAAGAACGCCGCGAAGCATCCATCGAATCGTTTTTGATCACACGGCACGTTTGCGTGCCCAAATTCACACGCATATAGACACACACATAGAACGAACGGATAAGGTGCACTTCGTTCACTCCTACGTTTATTCTCGAGGATATTAGAATTCGTCTTGCTTGGTGTTTTTCGAATAATCTCTTTTAAGAGCGTGACACGTTTAGAGGAAGCCCAGGCGGGAATTTCAAAAGGCGCCAAAGTGATTCGAAACGTAGGTTAGGGGGCGATACTTTCGGGTTAAGGGGGTCCGCGAAAGTGACGCGAAGTTGTCGCGAATCCCGAGGAGGGTGTTAAGACGGTCAAAGGATAGCGACGGAGATCGATAGAAAATCTAAGAAAATAGAAAAAAGGCAAAAACTTTGAGGAGCGAAACGAGTAAATGGAACGATGTCGTTGCTAGTGTTGCTATTTTTATCGGCCGATAATAATCGTCGTCCTCGTCGTCGATAAGTCGTCGTGCTCGCGTCAGTGTGTCGCGATGTCGAGCGGCACGACGGGCGTCGTGCGTGCTACCGGCGCCGAGTGCAGGAAGTTCGCACCAAACATATTCAACAAGAGCAAGTGCAGCAGCTGCTTCAAGCAGAAAGAGGAGCACAGTGCGGAGGCTCTGGAATGCAATAGGGTGAGTTTTCCTTGATGGACTCTATCTCTCTCTCTTTCTCTCTCTCTCTCTTTCTCTCCCTATCCTTCTATCTCCTTTCCTTTCTTAGTTCTTCTTTCTCGCGTGTTCTTGCGTGTCCTTTCTCTCTCTCTCTCTCTCTCTCTCTCTCTCTCTCTCTCCCTCTTTCATTCTGCCACCCTCCTCCATCTTTCTTGCGTATATGCTCGACTCGACGCGCCTCGAGACGTCTCCCTTGGCTTCTTCTTTCTTCTTCTTCTTCTCCTCCTCCTCCGCCTCCTCCTGCTCCATCCCTTCCCTTCCTTCCTTCCTTCCTTCTTTCTCTTCTTTTTCGTCTTTCTTCTTCGCCGTTGAATTCCTCGGCACGATCGGTGAGGAATAGCGATAGGAGAGGGAGGGAGGGAGGGAGGGAGAGACCTCGTAGGGATCATTGCTGTTACGTAAGTCATACTTTTTCATTCGATCTGCTGCTACCTTCGGCCATGTCTCAAAGGAGCAAACTCGATCGATCGATCGATCGATCGATCGACCGATCGATCGATCGTCGGAGAAGCGTTAATTGCTCGCTTCCTTCGCGAGATACTTTTATTCCGACGTATTTTCATACGACATTTTATACGTTGTGAATTCGCCGTTTGTTATTCCATCGATAAAGATGGGCGCTTCTTTTCACGTACAGATTCTTTGTAATCGATTCTTTTTCTTTTTTAAGGACACAGCGCGAATCCTTTCCGATTGTTATCGCGGCGTTCTCGCGGCCTTGGCATCGTGACTTTTACGTATAGTAGATATGCCTTTCGAATCTACGTTTTCTCTCGCCGTGACGCATCACGGTTTGTCTTATCGCTTAGATATATTTATGCGGATTCAACGAAGGGAAAAAAATCTCGATGCGCCGATAAGAGGTCGTACGCATTCTCTTATCTCGAACTATATATATATATATATATATATATATATATATATATATATATATATATACTACTACATATACGAAATCGGAACGAAGAGATGTGATTTCAATCGAGTGAAAATAAAAGAAAATTGGATTTTGATGTTTTTCATTTTAAGGAGGAAGAGGAAGAAGAATTAAAAGAAAAAGTAGAGAAAGTTAGGATACTTTTATTTTATATCGTTACTTCGTTAGAAAAAAAAAGTCAGATCGAAGTAGAGCCACGCGTTTCTCCTTATACTCGTTTGCAAATTTCGGAATGCTGGCAGCCTTGCGACCTGTTCTCTCGGTGCATTCCAATCGCCTTCTTCCAGCACCCTTTATAACTGCCTGTCGGAGAGCCGTTGCTTCGTCGACTTTCGAAGGAACGCAGTAATTTGCGTGAGAAAGAGAGAGAGAGAGAGAGAGCGCACGGTCTTCTTTCTCTCTTCGTACAAAGCAACGTTCGAAGAGACAAAAATGACGAGTCAAATTACCGGTATAATATCTAACCTCGGAATGCTCTTTCGATCTTCCCCTTATCGTTAGGAAACGCATTCTCTTATTATCTTTCCTCCTACGTTCGAGCCATCCATAAGATTGAGTTTTTATGAAATTAAAAATGGTTTCGTGTAGGTCACCAACACCTCCCCACTCCTCTGTCTCAAGATCATTGCATGAAATTCCACGAATTCGCATTAAGTTTCAGGGCTTTCGATCGTCGCACAAGGCATATTTCCATATACAACGCACGTAGAAGGTCTTGCGAGTGGTACGCGTATAAAGCGAAATACGTTGCCCGATTGCTTTTCTCCTTTACCACTAATTACGAGAATACTTGGCTCCCCCCCCCCCCCCCCCCCCTCTCTCTCTCTCTCTCTCTCTCTCTCTCTCTCTCTCGATGTACGATCTTAAGGAAGCCGTAAGACGTGCTTTTTACGAACGATGCGTTCTCGCGGAGCAGTCAAAAACGTGTGCCCGTTATAAAAGCGACGGAGCTTATTTATATCGGTTTGGTTTATGCATACGGAGTATGTATAGTTTGTCCGACTATAACGGTTATACACGAAAACGACGTCCGACTTACCAATGACCGAGGACATTACCCGCGCGAAGTCAACAATCTTTTGATAAGAGTAGGTGGAAAATTTTTAAATGATTATCTCGACATTTTCTCCATAAAGACGCACGCGTTTTTTTTTTCGATAGCACTTTCGTACCTCGATAATCTCGATAGAAATTTGACGTGCGCGCGCGCGCGAGAGAGAGGTAAGATTTATTTAAGCGAGACACGTTCGCGATGAAAAAATTCTTCCACCGTCATCGTTCTTCGTCGTTGCGTTTGGCATTCGAAGAAGATGAGCGAGAGTCGAAGAATTTCAGTTTCCGTTCTTATAGCGATACGAAGAAATTTTGCCATTTGCCCTTCAAAATTCTCGCTACGCTAGATATGGTCAACATTTTTTCTCTCCGACTCTTCGACGACCAAGAAAGACGGCGAACGTTACCGTGTAACGTGTTCATTCGTCTCTCCCTCTCTCTTCCCCCCCCTCTCTCTCTCTCTCTCGGCCGCATATTTACTTTGCTTACGACTCCGAAGCGTATGCCATAAGCGAGATACTGTTATGTTCGGCGCTGTATGTACGACGACGTATCGCTTCGTTGATCTTAATATTTCTTTCTCGCTTTTCTGACCCATTCAGCTCTTGCTACAAAGTTTCGATGAAATTACGCCTTACGAAAAACGCACATATTTATATAGATAAGTAGATACGTATGTATATACGTTGTACAAACATGACGTCGTCGACAGTGTTTGCTTTGCTTAGCCGCGACACGGTGACATTGCTGGTATCTATCTGTGGTGACTTTTCATTGGATCAACGAAAGAATCGTTATTGTTTTTCTTTTTTTCTTTTTTTTTTTTTCTATTTCATTGAGAATTGGCGAAAGCAGTGAAACTGGTAATATATCGCACGATGGGAGAAGACCCGAAGCGAGTTTTGCGCGCTTCTTAAACGTGCCGTTACAAAAAGGTAAAAAATCTTTAAGAGCGGGCATCCAGTTGTAACGGTATACGCGGTATATGGAGGCGAAAGAAAAGAGTAAATCGGTTCGATCGTTAAGCGGGTAAAGGCTAAATGAAACGTCCTGTACGCGAGAGTTACTAGTGAATGGAAGTCGTCGGGTCTAACGCGCGCACCGTCGGTGGCCCGCTTTACGGTGTATCCCGGATAGATCGCCCTCGAGCGATTTTAATCGAGCCTGCGAAGACGAAGAAGAAGAAGAAGAAGAAAGGCGAGCTAGATAGATAGATAGATGGATGGATGGAACGATCGATCGATCGATCGATCGATGGATCGATCGATAGATAGATAGATAGATAGATAGATAGATAGATAGATAAACAGATAGACTGCGAAAGGAGAAAGGGAGGGAAGGGTACTTCTTTTTTCCTTCGAATCTAAAACGTTTTTCCTTAGCTCGCGCCTTAATACCCGCCCTCCTCGCTTCGGTTTCCTCTCGTGGAAGTCGGAGAGAGCATGCGCACGCACGCTTCTTACCTTTATAAGGACTTCATTGAAAACGTCGTCGTCGACGGAAAACGACGAGCACGCTCGAGAGAACCTATCACCGGCCATCATCGCCACTACTACCATCACGCGCGCGAGCGCGCTTTACAACTTCTCCTTACCGACCGACGAAAATACTTTTATGAGTTGGCCATCGCGCGTGCGTCGAATGGATTATTTCTTTCTACACGTAGGAACGTCGTTCCATTAGAGAGGGAGAGAAAGGAGACAAGTGTCTTGAAAGGATTTTTTACTATCTCAGAAATTGCTTCTTCCTTGCATTTTCTGCTCTCATAAATAAATATGACGCGCGCTACGTTATTTCGATTTTAAATCCGAAGAGATGGATGGATGGATCGAAAGAAGAGTCGTTTTTCCTCGTAGGATTCTCGTAGGGACTTCCAGGAAGATTCTATGGGTCTCTAACATGAATGAACGATCTCTATCGTCCGGGCTTTACCTTAACGGAGTTACTCTTAACGAGAAAATCTGGTTCCGAGACGGTTTCCGCGTAGTCGTCTCTTCGAGGGAAGATGACCGTGGCGCGAGTAACTCGACCGATCTTTCCCCTTGAGCAGCTCTCTAAGCTCCCTCTTCTTCTTCTCCCCCTCCTCCTCCTCCTCCTCCTCCTCCTCCTCTTTCTCCTTTTGACTTTATCCGGTGAGACAGCGCGTTATCTGCGATCTCGACGAAGGATCGGCGTAAAACTTGGGAGTGCTCGTAAAATGAGCGGGATTTTCAGCTCGTATACTTTTTAGCTCGTTCTCTAGGATAAGGAGAAGTCTCTCGTATTTTCTTATCTTCTATACGCTTCTTATCTTCGAAAAAGAAAAACCAAACACAGAAAAAGAAAAAAAGAAAAAAGAAAAAGAAAAGAGAGAGAGAGAGAGAGAGAAAATAAAACGCAATTGGCAAAGATCGATGAGTTATTTCGTTGTTCTCGCTCTTTATCGTCGTCACCGCGCGATCATTTATCCACTCTCTCGGTCGTTCGTCCTCCCGTTGACCACCGGCAATTAGCTTCACGGTCACGACAAGGACATCCACTTCGTGATAGGCTAAACGTAGGTCGGCCAAGTTATGAGATATTGCTCACCGAACGGACGGCCCGGGGTGACTCGAACCGGACGGATAATAACGGCACTGGATTTACTCTCGATCAAAATTTCTCTTTTCCATTTCCATTCTTAATTGATATCGGTAGATAGTATATCTCATGGTTTTGGAATTTGATCATTTTAAAAGCGTCTCTTAGTCACGGCGCCAATTTTCTATACGACTGATGGACGAATTCAGTCGAATAGTCGTACATTAATGCTTGGCACGATTGAATAACTCATCGGGTAGAAATCTCGGTGCTACTATAAGCGTGCCTGGAATGCCGATTTATAGGTCGATGAAGTTCGATCGAAGCGCAGAGGATGATTATCTGTAATCGAGCGGGCATAACGTAGTGCCAGATCTTGTTTCTCCGATGTGCATCGGCCAGCCGTTTACTA